GGACAAGTGTCAATTATTAACAATACTATACACAACATTTATAGCCAGAGCTAATTTGCAATGCCCGTCCCTAGATGGGCTTTTAGCAACATGAAACAAAGTGTAAAATACAGTTAACAAATACAAAACATCAAAAATATTAAAACTCACTAAAAAAAACTCGTAAAACCAACTTAAAAACAAATCATTAAAAGTGACAGTTCAGTTATTCATGACTACAAAGCTGATTTTCCTTCAAGAAAGGCTTCAGTTCTAATCTAAAATGGTTGCAGTCAGACTTCAGTTTTAAATCGGCAGCTACATCCCTCCACATGTTCACAATCCACGTTAATCCCTCGAGCAGAAAAAGCTGTTTGACCCATAGTCATTTAAAAAAAGGAACTTTACAGTTCCCACTGTTCGCTCCACGATACTGAGCCTGTAGACTCAAGAGGAACCAAAAACTTACAAAGCACTTGAGGAGGGTTAAGAACATGTCGACGGTGGAACGTAAACGACTTGTAATTGCAACAAAACCTAACTGCTGATTTTACTAATTTATTGAACTTTATTATTTGGTAATAAATTATGCATTTTTTTATCATAAGTGATGCATATACCCAAAAATAGCATATTTGTTGCTTTCAGAAGGTACAAAAGAATAAAACTGAAACCCACTAAATTTTTGACACTTTAATAAATTGAAACATTTCAATTAGAAAAAAAATTAAAATCTGTTTAAAGTTTTAGTTTTTCTACAGATGTACATGAGAACTCTTCTGTCTTTAATCTTACAAATGATCTGAACGGTCTTTTTGTTTCATTTTCTGTTCAGATTGAGGACAAATGTGAGGAAACTTTTTACTGTATTTTGACAATTTGAAACACAAAAACACCTTCCTGACAGAAATCAAATYAAACAACTTTTTTTGTGAGAACCTTCAGTGGACGTTTTGATCGAGCTTGGGAAACGACTTTAAAAAAGTATGATTTCCTGTAGGTGGAGTAAAACTGAAATCTTTGGAGTTTCCATGTTTGCGCTGAAGCAACACTGGGTTACAAACCTCGAGTTGTCAGACTGTTGCAGGCTTTAAAGAGACAGGAAGTGGAATCACTGCAGATCGGTGGAACGTGAGGACGATCACAGCTCAGATCTAAAAGACCAACGCAAACAAAGAGCAGGTAAGATGATGACTATTTATYCTCTGATGCAAAACTAATGTAAATATATTCATATCTGTATTAAATAACTTGAAATTACAAAACAAATCAATCCAGAGAGGCAATATTTCCATATTTTATTCTTAATAAACACTAAATACTTGGACTTTATTTGTTTAGAAATCTGGATTAGTGAGAAACGCAAACTAGACTATTAAAATGTTTTTATTTATTTGATTTAAGGGGTGCAGAGAAATTCATCCAGTGGATCACAAGATATTGCCAACACGGGTAAAAAAAACAAACAAAACCTGTCACTTTTACTTTTGGAAAAAAAAGCAGTTTTTGATGCAAATATCAATATTTACAGAGAAAAATCCTACTTTTTTTCACACTTCTCCATAKAAGAGCTTTTATAAGACTTCATTAGGAAAATAAATGATTAAATAATCGATTTAGATCAATTAAATGCATGTTACTTAAAATAAACTGACATATTTGTAACTGAAATAACCATGATCTACCAGCTTTGGTTTTCTTTAAAAGGATACAAAACAAAAATCTGAATAATAAATAACAATAAGTGAGTAAACACCTGTACTCACCTGTTAGAGAACAACTTTAACAAGCGTTTACCAAACAAAATGTAAAACTAAAAGTGTTTAAACTAAAAGTTATCAGACATCTTTTGGATCTAAAGTTTTTGTTTTCCCACAGTTGGTTCTGAGTACTTTTACTTCCTTCTGTCTCCTCCAACCCAAAACCWCACTTCTGCTGGTCCAACTCTTGTTTTTGCTTTTGCCCATCGTCAGTGCTGGGCACAGTTCCCCTAAAGCACTAATAGGGGAACTAATTTCCTGATTAGTGCTTATCCACTAGGTGACTATATATAAACGCAAATACGGCTGTGGAATATCAATGATAAGTCTTAAGAGAGCAACATGTTGTCTGTTGAATGTTCATGGGTTGACTGGGTTATTTTAGTGCTTTAGAATTAGCTTTTGCTAAAACTTTCAGTGCGTTAGTGCTTTAGAATTAGGGGACCTAAATATTTGAGTTAGTGTTTTAGGGCTAGTGGAACTAATTTTAGATTAGTGCTGCCCACCACTGCCCATTATATAAGCTTACATAGTCAAATATCTACATTCATCGAGAAAACTAAAATATTTAAAGGGATCCCCGATTAGTTGTAACATTAGACTTTATTTAATAAACATATTTTAACTGTAAAATAAAGACTGTAAAAATTTAGTTTAGTTTTCATAATTTTTAATCTAAAAGTACACAGACGGAGCCATTTTATTTACACACAAAGCATTCTGGGTAAATGATGACGTGGATAGGTCCTCGGTGCGAGGCTGCTAGCGAGCTATATCCACCCTGAAGGTTAATCTTGGACAATATCTGATGATCGACTCTTTTAAATGAAACCAGAGAGCGTTGACAGAGAGGAGAAGGTAGAAATGATTCAGCCTGTAACTGAAAAAATGGATGGAGGACAACAGTTTAGCTTGTTTGTCGCGCTAGCACCAAGCTAATATATATAAGGCAACACAGCATCAGTGCTAGCACAAAGGCTAACAGGCTAAGCTGAGGTTCTTCTTCCATGAAGCAGCTCTGTTGTCCTCCATCCATATTTTCTGTTACAGGCTGTCATTTCTACCTTCTCCTCTCTGTCAACGCTCTCTGGTTTCATTTAAAAGAGTCGATCATCAGATATTGTCCAAGATTCAGGGTGGATATAGCTCGCTCACACCGAGGACCTATCCACATCATCATTTACCCAGAATGCTTTGTGTGTWAATAAAATGGCCCCGTCCGTGTTAAAATTTGTTTTTGAAAATTATAAAAACTAAACATCCTACAGTATTTGTACAGTCTTTATTTTACAGTTAAAATAAATATTTATCAAATAAAGTCTAATGTTACAACTGATCGGGGATCCCTTTAAGCATCATGTTGGTGGRAAAAGTTGATGAAACTGTTGACCTTTAAAAATGTCACCTTCTGCTTTTCTCAGCATGTCAGGTCCAGCGGAGCCCCCCGTGCCTAAACAGACCCCAGGTGGACATCCCCCGCCCTACTCCTCCACCGAGCTGCCGCCTCCGGCCTACGCCGCACCCAGGTACGAGTCTTTCAGCGACGTCGACTCGGACACGTCTTCGGAGACTCCAGCCTACGCCGCACCCAGGTACAAGTCTTTCAGCGACGTYGACTCGGCGTCGGAGACGACTCCCATCATCTCCTCGTCTTCGTCGTTTGAGGATAAAGCTGTGAGAAGGGGGTTCGTCAGAAAGGTTTGTGTGCTCGCACATGAACTCTTCGATTTTTTGCAAAAAAAATCATCATTACAGTATAAAAAAATGTGTACGAGTTGCGAGACAAACCCATGAATTAACACAAAAACAAAAATATGACACATTTGTGTGACCGGTCTGCACAAGTGAGGGTCAGGACCACTGTGGTGACAAACTGAATATTGAGATCATTTTTCTTCCATACATCCTTCAGGATATTCTAACGATGACTTTTAATAATTTAACAATTTATACTTTTTGAGATATTTAGCTTTTTCTGCCTTTTTTTTTTCCTTAAAACTTTAAAATATTCATAAATCTTTTACTTTTTGTTCTGGTTAAGCTTCCTTCAACTTGTATTTTGCCAATTTTATTTTTTCTGCCTTTTTTTTTAGCTATCATTGACCTTTTCTATGATTCTTCTGCTAATCTAAATCTTTAGTGCGTCTTTCAGCTTCTTTATGCTAACTTCAGCTGTTTTCTGGGTTAACTACTTTTTGGCTAATTTGTGCTTTTTCCAGTTAAATTCACCTTTTTGTGATAACTTTAGCKTCTTACTKTTCAGTTYAGCAAAATCTGTCTGATTCTTTGTGCTAATTTTGGCCATTTCAGCTATTTTTTTAAAGCTGTGTTTACGCTAGGTTTCAGCTTTTTTAGCTTATCAGCAAAAATCTTTCAGCATTAGGCATTCACTTGGCATTTCCAGCAGAAATGCAGTTTCTCAGTTTGATTTGTTTGTATTTTTAGAAGCATTTTTAGCAGCTGTGTTTACTAAACTCCAGAGTTGTAAAGTAATAAGTACAAATACTTCTTTACTGTACTTAAGTAGAATTTTTGGGTATCTGTACTTGACTTGAGTAATTATTTTTCAGCCTACTTTTTACTTCTTCTTCTTACATTTTCACACAATTATCTGTACTTTCTACTCCTTACATTAAAAAAAGACAAGAAGTAGAAAGTCATTATTTTTATTTCATTTTTGCTTGTTTTCATTCCAGCTTATTATAAAAAATAAAAAC